AAATTATTATATATAATATTCGGTTCAGTACGATTTTTTTGTCAATTTTGAATGTATAAAACCAAAACCGTTTCAAAATATTTGGTACGGCATTACCTAATACTAAAACTTATAAAATGTTTTTAAAAAACTTAACTTTTGGTACGGTACGGTATGGTTTGATTTGGTGCGGTTTTAAAAATCATGAACACCCTTATCACTTGTGTGCACCCGATGGAAACATTGGCAACTGGGAGTTGCATTAGTTCGATATCAATAATATCTTTCTCCCCCATAATTTTGAAGAAGAGGCTTACATGAAAATACGCTAACGTGTTTTATGGTATGATATAATGATTTTTGATGGCATAGAAATGTGAGTGGGAATGTGAACGGAATGAAGATTACTACGACTATGTTTAGTACACGTTGATAGAATGAAAATTCTTATTCTACTATTATATTTAGTATGTTAAATAGAAGTAGGAAATGAAACTAAAAAATTGTTTAAAGACAAAAATATCATTTATTACCAAAATTTATAAATTAGAAAAAATTTAGTTTCTATTATTTTAGAACACATTAGAAGTTAAAAAATTAAAAAAATTTATATTCAAATATTCAAATATTAAATTTTATTTTATATATTATATTATATTATATTGTATTGTATGACACATTCATATGTAGATTTATATAATAAATATTATGTATGTAAATATTTAATAAATTAAATTATATAATATAAATTATAAATTTATTTTAATATATTAATATATAACTCGGTCATTTCTTAAAAAACAGAGGGTAATACAATAATTGTGTAAGCAAGTGATGGAATGGAATTTGAATTCCATCACTATAGTGATGGAATCCCGATCACCTTATTTGATGAAATCCTAATTCCCATTCTAAAGTACCTATCAAATATAATTTTTCAAGATTTTCATTCTAATTTTCATTTTATTAAGAGAATTTTATTGTATCATATGTCATCTAAGATTTTACTTGTTAAGGAAAACATCAAATGCTGTGATTACAACAATCATTATATGTTTTAGCAACAAGCTTCTCGCAATTGGTACAGGAAAATTTACTTCTCCCCCTCTCATCATTGGCTTCTAATAGTCTAAAGCATATCATGTTTTGATCACTTGCTACTCTACCTTTTCTTTTGTTTCCACCTTGATTTATGTTGAGTGATATCACTTTTGCTAGCCATGATTCAAATAAGATCTCTTACCTCGAACAATACCTGGACAACGAGTTCTACATCAAAGATTTAAGAAAATTGAAATATTTTCTTGCGATTGAGGTAGCTCATTGTAACAACCCAATTTATTAAAATTTTTGATTTTTGGTTATTAACTAATTTTAGGGGCTTAATTGCGTAAATTAAAAGAAGTTGGGTTAAATTGTAATTTTAGAAGGGTGAAATTGAAAGAAATCAAAGTTTGGGGGATTGGATCGAGAATAAAACCTACAAGTTTGGGTCAACAGTGAACCGAACACTGTGCAGGCCATACCATGATCATGGTGGCCTATTTTTTTGCAAAAACGTTGGCTTTGGTGTGCAACACAAGCCATTGCACATTTTCCCTCAATCAATTTCGAGTTTGAGAGAAAATTTTGAGAGAAATTTGAGTTGGTTCGGCCAAGGGGTTCACAGACGACTAGGTGAGGTATTTTGCGAGTTGATGCTATTTCGATTGGTTATTTTTCGATTAAAGGCTTTGGTTTGAGTCATCTAAGCTTGTTGTACCATTTTTGGCTTCAAATCGATCAAGGTATGCCACTAATTTTTGTAATTTTTGGGTTTTTGGCTTTAGGTTTAGTTATAGAAAACCAGGTTAAGAATTGGGTTGGCAGAGTTAGGTTTTCGGGCGAAAAAGACGGACTTGGATGGTATTCGGGTCTGTGCTAAGTTGACTTGGCCGAGTTGACTTAGCTGGGCTGGGCCTGGGTTGAGGCGAGTGGGCTGGGCTGGTTGTTAGGTCAAGTTTGTGGGCTTGGGTTGCGGGTGTTGGGCAAGCTTAAGGTGAATGGGTTGGGCAGAGCTTTGGGTGAGTCAAGTTGACTTAGCCCAGTGGCTGGAATTAATGAGTTGGTTCAGTGAGTCAACTTGGTAGCTTGATTCCAGGATATGTTATCCCAGGGATAGAATAGAATGAAATTGGAATAGAATAATCAAGGCTGTGATAAGGTATCCAATGTTATTGATTAAGGATAGAAATGTTTCAGGGGTGGTTCAGTGGGAAATTAGCTGATTCAGTGAGAACTTAGACTTGTTTCAGGAAGGTAAGACCGGTTCACACCTTTGGAAAGTCTGGTTCATCAGAAAATCGGTCAGTTCCATACTGTTTAAGTTGATTTTGTGTGCAAATGGCTTGGTTTGGCTTGGTTTAAGAGTTTTAAGGCCAGTTCAGTTTGGTTCTCAGGTATACATGGCGGGTTCAATCCAGTTTAGGAGAGTTTGAGACCGGTTCAAACCAGTTCAAGAGTTTTGGAGACTGGTTCAATATGATTTAAGAGTTTTTAAGGATAATAAATGCATGTTCTTGAGTTGTGTGAGTTCCAGGTGATGGGAAATGAGCATTGGGATGTGGGTATGGGTTCTCGAGTGGTTTTTGAGCCTGGTTTTGAGCAGCTGAGTCCTTTCTTATGTTGGTTCGAGTTGTGATTTTGATTGTATGTTGTTGTGATTGTAAATACATGGTAGAGACACAAGGTGACCATTGAGTTGTGGCGGCGACTCAGATTTTGACTTGACTTTGATCTATAAGTAACGATACCTTTTCTATACATGTGTTTTCTAAAATGTGATTTATGACATAAATATTGTTTTGATGCATATGGTCTTTTGATTATATGAGAAATTACAGGGATATGTATTGATGTATTTTGAAATTTGTAGTTAGCCTTCATATATGTTGATATATGAACTGTATATGTGTATATATGCGAAATATTTTTTGTTAAATATGTGGAGAGCTGTATCGTGTGATGTGATTAGGATATCAAGGGCTCGACTGGAGAATAGTGTTCTGTAGTATCTAGTGGTGAGTGCCTTGAGTTCGGTACGAGGTTGTGGTGCCTCGGACATGATGCGCACTGTCGTGATGAGATTGGGATGTAAGGAGCTCGTTTACAGGACAGTAATCCGTAGCGTCCAGTAGTGAGTATCCTGAGTCTAGTGTGGTGATTTGACGATTGTATATAATGATACTTGTACATATATGTTTTGATATACTAGTAATGCTTGTTGTGTATGTATATGTACGTTTCGTTATACATTACGGTACATATCCTAGCATAGTTAGAATAGGTATCATTTGTATTTACCGAGTTTATCGACTCACGCTTTATTATCTTTTTAAATCGAGTTAACTGTTCGTTTTCCCAGCGTCAGTTTGGTGCTAGAGCCAATTTACTACCGACTTGATATGTATGGGCAAGTTCTGTTTTATTATAATTTTGTATTTTAACTGCTCCTTTATTTTTTTCAAATAGGATTTTGGTTTTTTGTATGAAAAGTTAGAGTTGTGATTGATACTCCTAAAATGTTGTGAATGTGAGACTTACTAAGATTAGTAGGCTGTAATGCCGATTATAGGCTAAGTTTTGGGTTGTGACATTCGTTTACCAATTGATATTTATTTTTAAGTCGGTGAAACTATAAGAAAGTGGCTGAATTTTATCAGAAATGTGTGAATTTCTGTGGAGAATAAGCACTTGTGACAAAAATTGTAATAGACAAGTGTCTGTTGGAATATTCCATGCGGGAAACAATTTCTGACGAACTTTTATGGGCCATCGATAATTTTCAACAGATTCTTTTGAAAATGAAAAATTTTCTATGGAAAATATGTCTCGTCAGTTGAAAAATAGGATTGTCAAATTCTAGCATTTTCAATGGACCAGTGGCCGTTTTCAACGGCCATGGTCCGTCGAAAATTTTTTAAATTTGTTTTTTTGATTTTTTTAATAAATTTATCCGTCTAAAATTCTATTAAAAAATATTTTCCCAAAAAACTTGTCTATCGGAGATATTGAAAAATTATTTTAAAAAAATATTTGGTGGCCGACTTCGGTGAAGCTGTCTTCTTGGGAGGCAGCGATGGGGCAAGAAGGTCCTTGGCTTTAGCAGCCAGCCTTTGGGCTGTGGCGAAGTTGGCATAGTGCCCGACAGAAGAGGAGCTTTGGGTTCGGGTAGGCAAGTGTGCCCACGAGAGCTCGCTGTAGGTGGCCTCTACTTCATCTTGTTCAAGTGGTAAGAAAGCAGGATCGAGTGCGGTAGCGGGATAGTGTCAAAGCCTCGATTGAGGCAAAATCATCTGCAAAAGCAACAAGCACATCCCAATTTAAGCAAATAGGTACACTAAAAGCGAAAAAAATAAAGAAAAAAGGAAGAAAAAGAAGTTGCTTACAACTATGGTAGGAAAGAAGCACAACGCGTTCACAGTTGGAGAAGATTTGAGGCGTCGGAGAAGATGATGCAGTATAGAGCTGGCTTTGTCATCCTTATCGATTGGAGAGAGAGGTTTGGTAGAGAGATTTGGGAGAGATCGAACAATTATGCCAAATGAGAAAAATGGCACTAATTTGGGCTAAATAAGGAGTTCTCAATGGACTTGTCCACAAGAATTCTGTCAAAATATTTTTGCCGGATGTCAAAATGCCGCCCAAATATCCAACAGACCTATCTCTCAAAAATTCTATCAAAACAATTTCACCCAAATTTCAAAATATCTGCCCAAATTTCCAACCGACGGATACCATCGGAAATTCAATTTATTTTTAAAAAATATTTTTCTATGCTTTCGGCGGACAAATTCTATCAGAAAATATTTCACTCAAATTTTAAGATGTCTACCCAATTTTCAAATTGTCTACCCAAATTTATGTCGGTCGGACCATCAGAAATTTAAATGTATTTGAAAAATTATTTTTTTGTGTTCTCAAAAAAATTTTATCCGTTAAAAATTCTGTTAAAAAATATTTTGTCCAAAATTTTGACGAAGATGTCTGTTGGAAATGAAAGAATTTCTTTTAGTGATTCTCATTGAAAGTAAAATGCTTGAAACAAAACTGGGTTCTTTTCCTAAGAGAAGCATCACAACTTGGCTTTTGCAACTTGTGGCTCTTGCTTCTAGCACGCCACATGATGATCTTACACGATATCGCCGTCTTGTTGGCCATTTACTTTATCTCATCAACTTGCAGGCTTGTACTGGATAAGCAGAAGACATAGCTTCGGCGGGGAAGTCCAACGTTGGGTTTGATCAACTAGAGTCTATTCACAGGAGCAAGACTGGAGCACTACTGGAGGCAACAGCTGTGGTTGGTGCAATGTGTGGAGGAGGAGGCGACGAACAAAGTAGAGAAACTGAGGAAGTATGGAAGGCGTGTGGGGTTATTGTTCCAAGTGGATGATGGCATTCTTGATGTCACCTTGTCCAGTGAAGATTTGGGGGGAACTGCGTGTAAGGACTTGGAGAGCGACAATCATACTTTTCAAAGTAATGGGCCTTGAGAAGTTGAGGGAATTCGCCGACACGCTGCAGAAAAAGCCAAGGATCTTCTGTCCAAGGATCTAACTTTTCCAAACTTGTTTTATTGTTACTAAATCAGTTAATCACTTATATTTGGACTGCTTTTCATACCCACAAAATTAATGATCCGAGAGAAATTTAATGTCTTCTTCAACGAGGAATGATGGCAGCAAAGGAGGAGCTTAGTCATTTCCAAATCACATACGATTGGTACTCAGTTGAATCCTCCAAGAAAATTTTTCTTTGTAATATTTTAGGTTCTTATTGTAGAACTTTTTGGTGAAAGAAGTTAAAAAAAAAAAGAGTTATAAGATAGATCTTGATTTTGGAACAAATGTCACCTTTTTTTTTTAATAAATGAGATAGTCCACCATAGCTATCAATGGGGCTGCCTTGCATGATCCAACCCAGAGAGATGATCCTTGGCTGCCGGCAAAATCCCTCCACTTTCGAGGCATATTAGTTTGGGAAAAGTAAGCTTATCGGCGGCCAAGTCCTCGCCGACCATTTTCTATAACTCGTCACTGGGCAAGGTGACATCAAGAATGTCATCAATAACTCAGAGTACCAACCGTACACACCTCGCATAATTTCTTAATTACTCTACTTGTTCATTCCTGCTGCCTCCGCATATTGCACCGATCACGGCTGCTTCCTGCCCTCTAGTCTTGTTCTTGTGCATGATCTCAAGGTGCTCAACCTCAACATATGACTTCCCAGCTGAAGCCTGTTAGAAGGGGTGGCAATTCATGTCATAATTAACTCCAAATTTGTTTTCTATTAAGGTTTCTCAAAACTTCCCTATAATCTGATAAATTACACTTTTGGTTCTTGAAGTCTCACCAGCATTCTCTTTGGCATTTGTTCTCAATTATGACACGTTTAGTTGTGAAATTTAAAAAATGTAACGTATTTTCATCTAAGTAGTTTTCTAAACAGAAACTAATTTTTTTAACATGAGGAAGATGAAGGTATATAAGGTTATTAAAAAGCAGTTTTTCTCCATCTCTTGACTACAATGAGATAAAAATTACTTTATGTTACTCAGCCAATTAAGGCCATGTTTGGATGGCATGATAGAATAACGCAAAGTAGGATAAATTTTTCCTACCCGCAAAGTATATTTATCTTTATCCTTGTTATCTCTTGTTCAGTATCCTCCCAACGCCACCGTTGATAATAAACTAGATAAACTTACAAATTATCAAAATAACTTTTACTTACCCAAGAAAAAAAGAAAAAATCTTGAAATAGTACCCAGTTCCCTAGGCAGCTTCACCACCTCTGTTAATGCCAGGAAGGAGTTCGCCACTTTGTCAGTGCCAGTGTTGAGTTCATTGCCCCCAACCACCTTTGTCCTCGTCAGCTAGAGCAGGAGGTTGTGGGTCCTCGTCCTTGTTCTCGTCCTACGCGAGGACTCAATCAATTTGCATATTCATCAGGGCTCCATCTGTGAGAGCCTCTGCAAATCTGTCAGGAACAGGCAAATGAAGGGACGATCGTTGAGATGGGCTCAATCTATGGAAGAGACGACCATCATTGGTCGATTTCACAGGAATGAAGGGGTCAATTTGCGCATGTCCCTAGAGATCTGTTGGGACATGATTTGCATGAGTCTCGGTAGATCTGTCAAGAAGGGGAAACAAAGGGATGATTGATGGAAAATGCTCAACAACGAGAAGGGATGACCGTCGTTGGCTGGATGACCGTCCTTGGCCACTTGTAGATGAACAAAGGGATGACCATTGTTGGTGGATTACAGAGGAATGAAGGAATTAAGGGAGGGCAATACTGTCATAAAAGAATCGTTTGTGTCCTATCCTGACTGATAAAGTTTACAAGAACTTCTCGTTAGGATAAAGTTATCCCATTTTAATCAGTTTATAGTGGATAGAGGGGGTTACTTGGAGTTTATCTTATAACGTTATATCTAAGTACTGAACGTGTGATAGGGCATGATAAATTTATCTTATCCTGCCTTATCAAGTGAATCGAATGCCACCTAAGAAGAGAAATCACTACTAGAAAATAAGGCTTCAGTGACAAAAAATCAGTGACGGAATAGTCCATCACTAATTATTAACAGATTAGCTACGGATTAGTGATGGATTTACCAATTGATTACCAATCTGTCGCTAAATCAGCGATGGACACCAATCTGTCAATAATCCGTCGATGATTCAATGATGGACAAACTTTTCGTTGGTAAATGCGCCGCTAAATCAACGATAGAAACCAATTCATCGGTAATCTGTTGCTGATTCAGTGATGGTCAACCTTTCATCGGTAAATCCATTGCTAAATTAGCAATGAAAACCAATTCGTTGGTAATTTGTCGCTGATTTAGTGTCAGACAAACTTTTTGTTGGTAATCCGTTACTGATTTAGTGATGGACATAAGTTCTGTCGGTAGTCGGTTGCTGAATTAGGAACGGATCACCAATTCGTCGCTAATCCGTTCCTAAATTAGCGATGGACCACCAATCCATCGGTAAATTAGTTGCTAAATTAGTGACAGACCGCAAAGTTGTTGGTAATTTAGCAACGAACCACAATCCATTGGCAAATCCATCGCTAAATTACCGATAGACCACCAATTTGTCGATAAATTTGCCCCTAATTTAACGACGGATTGGTGTCCGTTGGTAATTTAGCGACGGACAACCAATTTGTCAGCAAATTCGTAACTAATTTAGCGACGGACGACCAATCCATTGGTAAATTCGTCGCTAATTTGGCAACGAACATAAGTTTCATTAGTGACCCATTGTTGATTGAGTGACAGAACCATGCATTTCGGTGGTAATTTGTTGTTAATTTAATGATGGAACGTATTTTCTATTGCTAATTTAGTGACGAGACTATTTTTTATTGGTAACTCATTGAACACTAGGGAGATAAAAGGCCCAGATTAACTGAATATACTGTAATTAATAAGTTTTCTTGGAGAATAAAGCCAGGTGTTAAGTCTAGAATGGGGCCTCAAATAATTTGTTTGTTACGGAAAGTTGACCTATTGCCATTATGGATCGGGCTTGGATGAGAACAAAGCCAAGTCTTAGGTCTAGAATGGGGCACTCGTAGATGTATATAGTATATCGTGTTACTTACGGAAAGTTGACCCATTGCCATTATAGATCGGGTTTGGATGAGTTTAGGTCTTGACGTTACTACGCAAGAGTGAAGATAGATTTAATATACATAGTATTGAATACTTTAATATATGAAACTATTACTAAATTTAATATATATAATATTGAAAACTTTACAAAAAAAAAAATAAAAAAGGTAAGAGTGAAGATATGTGTGTTTGTGTGTGTGTGTATGAAAATTTTAAATAGTTTTTTACAAACTGAGCTACTAATAAATTCAAATATGTTAACAAATGAGAATAATAATTAAATTAATATTTAAATAGTTTATTTTAAAAAAAATTAAATATAATTAAATAAAGAAGAAAATTAAATTTTGAAATAAATATAACAAAGTCATGCCATTTTAATTTTTACCTTTCTTTTATTTGCAAATAAATTTGAAAGCCCAAAACTCATGAGAAAATGAAGTCCAGCCTGGGTAATATTCACATATTAATTTAAAATATTTAATATATCTTTATCATGTGCAGCTTAAAAAGAATATCTAAGTATGGGTGAACCAAATTAATTTAATAATATTGAATATGTACACTCTTGGCTCTAGTTATGGATTGCAATTAGATCGAGACTCAATAGCTATCTGAGAAAATTATCTGGATGGGTCTACGTTGGATATTACTAAATGATCCAGGTCTATGTCTAGATAATTAAAAAAGTATTTGGGCAGGTCTGAGTTTGGGTTTGGCTACTAGAGTACCCACTCCGCCCCAAACCCCTCGATATATATATATATATATATATAATTATTTATTGTAATTTTATTTTTCTTCATATTATAACTTTTAAGCTGATTTATTTCTATTAAGTCCTTAAACATTTTCTTCACATTTAACTGAGTTTGGGTGGGCCAAATTAAGTCAATTTATTTCTATTAAGTCCCTAAAATTTTAATTATTTCAATTATGCCCAAAAAAATTAGTTTCTTTTGAATTTATAATTTATAATTTTTAAATTAAGTAGTTTAAGATGAAAAAAATAAAAATTAAGAAAAATAAAAAAATATAATTTTTTAACTTTTTAAACCCAATAAAAAATTGTAAGAATAAAAATTGACAAAATACCGACCTTGTTTTCATATATTTATAAATAAATTTTCTAAAAATAATCTAACAAAAATTAGTAATCTTATAAAAAACACTTCTAAATTTCATTTCCCTCTCATGTAAAAAAATACCCCAAAAATAACATTTCCATGTCTCCCTCCCTTTCTCCCTCCCTAAAATTTAATTTCCCTCTCTTTCTCCCTCCCTTTTTCCCTTCTCTCTCCTTTTCTTCTCCCAAAACTTTGTCTTTTAACCCAAATCCTTAAACCCTTAGACTCACTTCCCCTTCAATTCTCAAATCTGCATCTTCCATCATTAAAATGGAATTTGCAAGCGTGAATGGTATTCTTGTGGACTTAGCCTCCACCAAATATCTAGTAAGAACGGACCACCATGACTCTCCTCTTTATCTTCTTCAACAATGTCCTTACCACGCACAGCAACTCAACCGCAACCATCTGCTTCTTGGAGCCCTCCTCGATGCTTCCAGAAGGTTCCAACTTGGTCTTCGTAGCTTCCAGCGAAGCCAAGAAGACGATAACTCGCGTGATATTGGCCTGCGCGGTGACGACCATGCTGATGGCTTGGTCTTGAGAGAGCTCAGGTTTTTCATCGGGCGAAAGCATAGGAGAAAGATTGTAGACCTTGTAAGTATTCTTGTTTCTTAAATAGGCTTGCTTTATATTATAAATTTGTTTTCGGTTAGCTGCTTTCTAATGCTTTCATATATTCAAGCTCATTGTCCACAATATATTTACACATTGTAACTAAAAGCCTTTGCTT